GGTTTTTTTTTGTTTTGTTTTGTTTGTTGCAGGGAGCTTAATTTCAGTTAACAGGGATCTATTGATGCCAGCAGGGAAGTGAATTTGTGAAGGAATGATAGCCAGCAGATGGCTTGTAGCTACAGAAGGATGCATCCCAAGGCTGAGGTGTCCTTAACTACCCCAAATGACAAAATTATCCTGAGACCCAAGAGTGGCTTTCTTCTAAATTCATCTACTATGGTAAGAGGGGTTGGGTGGTCTTTGCAAGAATGGCAGGGTAAGAGACAAAGCTCAACAAATTTCAGGGTATAAATTAAATTCCACAAAGCTTTGTCAGGCTTCTCCATATGTAAATGTATGTTTAATTCATACATCTAACTGAACAGATTCAGGAATGCGTAACAACGCAGGACTTGGCTGCCCTGGACTCTGCTACCAACTCCTGAAAGGAAACCCAAGCCTTAGGCTCTGCCATTTGCATAGAAAATGTAATTTGGAGTCGACTCCTGAATGGGTGTGAAGAAGGTGCAAATATTTCAGAGCAGAGGACTTCAGAGGGAAATTCACACCAGGACCCTCCAGGCTGGTCAGAAGAAAATTCCTGCTCAGGAGAGAGAGGCTGAGGCCAGACTAAACCCCAGTGCTTTGTTCAGTCATAGGGACATTGCTGTGACTCAGTTTCCTTGATTTAGGGTTAATTTGATTTATTTTGAAGAAAGCACCTTTTTCCATAGAATTTACCATATTCCATTTATTTCCAGAAGTCCCCATCCACTGCAGAAATTTCCTCCTTTCTTTCACTGCATTTGACAATAGAACAGAATTTTCCTCTCTCCGCTGGCAGATTACCCTTTGTAGTTAGTGAAAAATACTGTCCAACAAGGTTAAGTCATCCCACTCAGATGGCTTTGACTTTGCCATGCCAATTACTAATTTCCATTAAATTCAAAATATGTTTTATGCTGATAAAGGGTCTTAAAGCAGTTTCTCTAAAGCTGCATTAAAGAAAGTGACGCTTACATAAGTCCTTTGGAATACCTAATGTGCCATGACTTTTGCTATAAATATGTGCCAGTTCATTATTTTCACTAAAGTTCACAAGTGGGTAGGTATAGATTACTTTACAGTTAAAAGAGAAAAATCTTGGATACTTGCACATGGTCTGGATAAGCTCCCAAAGCAATCTGCTGTTTTCAGTCTGGCCAAGTGGGTGATTATTTTCCTGGATTTCCTACTTTCTGTTTCCTCTTGGGTTTTTGTATATTTTTTATGCTGGCCAGTAATTTGCTGCCTGTAAAAGGTGCTTTACCATTAGGATTCAACTAGAAATCTCTCTCCCCAAAGTCCAAATAGGTTTTTCATGCCAGGGAAGAACCTAAAGAAATGTGAGGATGAGAAGAGCTTTACAAAAATTGTGAAGATGGGGTGGGGAGGGCTGGTTGTGGGTAGAGCTGCCCCACAGCAAATCCCTGCTCTCTGGGATGGACTGGATTTATGGCTCCATCTGCACAATGGAGCATCTCACACTTTGCCCAAATTTGTCCTTGTTTGTCTCTGACTTCTCCCTTAAAGCTCCTGCAGCCCCAGGGTGATGGCTGGTCCAGCCTCCACTGTGGGCTGAGAGTGGCTTTGGGGTGTTAGTCCACAATGTATATCACTTAATTAGCCTGGCTGCTAATTGATTCCCTGTTCCTCTCACTAACAGGCCAAATAAAGCCAGTGGAGGGCTGTCAGTCTGCTGTGTTTGACACCTTGGAGCAAACGCAGAGCCTGGCTGCTAATGAAGCTGTGTCAGCTGAAGGACACTGTGCCTGCTGCTCTGGGGTGAGACATCAGCTCTGGGGCACTTTGCTTTGCTGCTTTGCTTTTCCCTGTCATTTTCTCACACAGAAATTATTTCCAAGGTCTCGTGTTTTGTTATAAAAGTCTATAAAATCATCTTTCTCTGACAAAAATGATTCAATGCTGTCCATGGTCTTCTCACCTCTTCCCATGGTTCAGGGGGTTCACAGCCATGCTGGATGTGACCTCCAGTTAATCCTGAGATTTTAGAGTGTAATATGTCCTTTATTTCTGAATACCAGAAAGGAATTTGCTAATTAGGGGGGAACCAAGGTCTCTCACATGAGAAACATTTTAAGAAATCAGAAATGTCATTCTGCTATGACAAATGACACTTAACAATGATAAAATAACATTTCATAGCAGCAGAGGTTATTTGCTGCTGATATTGCAGGAGTCTGGAACTTTGAAGGACTCAAAAAGAAGGAAAAGTAAAGCATGATTCATTACTTAAAATAAGAGAGGGGTAGGAAGTGAAGAAGATGACATTCCCACCTCCACAGGGAAAGATGTCCAAAGACCAACCTGAAATGTCTGAAGGAGCAGCAGAGCTGAACCTGCCAAGTTGCAGCTTTTACACTAATTTCCATCACCACACCTTCCCTCCACTCTGAAATTGCCTTTGGGTCCCTGAGCCCAGTTCACTGTGTATCTGGGTTAGGCTGAACAGGGAGATGTTAATTTTGGTGGGGAGGAGGAGGTCCTAAGGCAAAAGCTTGTGGCACTGGTAATTCACATCCTGGTAATTCACATCCTGGCTGTGTTGTATTGGTTTCTCAGTGGAGGCAAGCCCTGGGGATGTGACTTTGATTATCTGAATCAGGCAGCTCCAGATTACCTTAATGTGGGGCTGCCTTCATCTGGAGTGCTGTGCAAAAGGGTGAATAACCACCCAGCCCAGCTGGATCAGCTCCAGGAGCTTGGGGAAATGCTGGGAGATGGCTTAGTCTGCTGTGAAACTGCACCAGGGCAGGCTGCAACAGCAGCATTTGCTCTTGATGGATGAGCCCTAATTTATTTCCACTGCAAGAGGCTTTGGTGACAAGTTTACCCTATAAATAATGCTTAAATTGGAATTTTGTTAAGTACCTTTCTCCTGTCGGGAAAAAAAATAATTGCTGCCTTCTTTGACTATTCCAGGTATTCAGTAACCCATCCTCATGCCCAGTGCTATCAGTTATTTTATACATGTGGCACAGTGGCTACAGACTTTTCTCTGTGGATCCTTGAGAGTGATGGTTTCCCCAGCAAGTGGCTGAGACCTGACTGGTGTTTGGTTTAAAGGTTAATAGAAATTTAATAGAAATTTGGCACTTGATTTTGAGAGCAGCTCATTGTGAAATGCCTGGTTATGTTTTTAAATAATTTTTTCTATTTAAGACCTTTGTTCTTCTTTTGTAGCCTCACTAGGGATGTGTCAGCCAGCAGAAGGCTGGCTGATGTCTCAGATCCAGGCTTTTTGCCTTAAAAAAACGAGAAAAAATTAACATAAAATCAGGAAGTAAAAAGTGTTTAAATTAAACAAAGTTGTTGGGGAGGGGGGGGATATTTGTTTAAGTTTGTCTTCAGCACTTTAATAGACAGGTTAGATACCTTTGTGCCTGTGAGCAGCTTTGCTGCAGCATGATGTGAGCTTGCAGCAGTCCTGCCAAAAGCAGCATCGCCTGTTTTACGAGTGGGGGTATTGCAAACTCAGTCTGGAAAAACTGTTCAGAAAAAATGTCACTGGAGGTGTTTCAGCCAGGATGACACCTGGGGTGGCAGGGTTGGGGACACACCAGGATTGTTTCCTGGGCTCTCCCAGAGGGCTGCAGCCCCCTTTGCCTGAGGTTTGCCCCATCTGCAGCCTCACACAGCGCTCACACAGCTCCAGGCTCTGCCAGGCTTTGGGATCAGTCTGTGGGGTCATCTCCCCTCGGGGATTTTGGCAGCTGCAGCACACACCGTGCCTTGCAGTGAAGCAAGTCTGTCTGCTTTTCCCAGCCCGGGGCTGTGTCTGCTCTAGGATCAGACTCTGCCAATGATTGCTCCTTCCCCAATGTCCTTAGAGAGAAGCACCAAGGGCTGGATGGAGATTTCCTGAGGAGCACCAGGAACTGGCAGCAGCAATTGCTCAGCATCTCCTCAGAAGCCTGCCCAGTGCTCAGGGGATGTGGAGATGCACATGGCATGACAAAAGCCAGCAATAGCAGTGGGACATGGGGATGGCAATAGTGGGGCACTCCAGATACCTACTGGGAATTTATACTGGTTGAGGGGAAAGCAGTGTGCTGATATTAACAGCCATTAACTCCCTTCTCAGTGGGAAATATTATTTACATATTTACCTCAAAAAAAAAAAAAAACCACAAAACCAACCCTTTCCAAACAATCAAAAAACCTTTGTAGGGAAACCAAGGAATTTCTAAGGGGATGTAGCAATAGGGCAAGGGGGAGTGGCTTCAAATAGAAAGGAATAGCTTTAGATTAGGTGTTGGGAAGAAATTCTTGCTTGTGAAGATGGTGAGACCCTGGCACAGGCTGCCCAGAGCAGCTCTGGCTGCCCCATCCCTGGCAGTGTCCAAGGCCAGGTAGGATGGGGCTTGGAGCAATCTGGGACAGTGGAAGGTGTCCCTGCCCATGGCAGGGGGGTTAGAACAAGATGATCTTTCAGGTTTTTTCCAACCCAAACCACTCTGTGATTCTACACTTCTTTGAAGTGCTGGTACTGACAGAAGATGCTTGCAAAGGTTAAACAAGTGAGTTGTCTTGCCCTAGAGAGTCAAGGAAAATTCAGCTGGGTCATAATTGATTTTTGTCCATGGAAGAAGTCCGAGACAGACCCTGACAGACACATTCTGTCTACTCAGACACCAGGGAAGGACTCGTTTCAGTCTCAGGGAAGTGACTGCACAGGACTCACAGCACTGAGGGCTTGAGCTCCCTGATTCACTGCAGTTGTCTAATGGGGAGAGTAACGTGAAAGGTGGGAAGGGTTCTCAATTATCAGTTTATAGAGCTTTAAAGTTCAGTCCTGCCTCTCTGGAGCCCTGCTGCAATGAGACAGTCACTGAGGAGCAAAGTGCAGAAGTTTTGGTTCAGCAACTCCCATCATTGCCTGGTTAGAAGGCTGGAAAATCACAGGTTGCAGAGGCAGACTGCCCTAACCTAACTACAGATGTGCTCTGTAATTACAGGGCTGTTCATGTGCAGAGCCAAGTCTGCTGTGGGACACCTTTCTTGGCTGGAATCAATGAAAGAATCCAGCAGTCTCATTGACTGAGCAAATCAGGAGCCAGGTAAGTGCATTCTGTCAGCACAAGGAGATTTTAATGCTAGGCTTTGGTCTGTCATTAATTAAAATAAACATCTATTATTTGGGTTTGAGATTCTTTCCAAGAAGGAAAATAGAGTCTGGAAAGGTTTTCAGAGCTGATTGCTGTGCACAGCCTGGACTGTGCTTGAGACGGGCACAAAGAGGATCTGGGGAAGGAAGACAAGGATGAGGAGGAACAAAAGGTGTTGAAATCAATGTCAGAAATTAGAGAAAGAACAGGCAGGGAGGGAACAGAAAAAGAAGCAGAACAAAGCCAAGGAAGACAGACAAAATGTGATTGATGGGGAGGGAGGGTGGCAAGAGACGGCTGAGTGACTGGTGGGAGTGACAGCACAATGTGAGCTGGGGAGGTGGCTCTGGGACATTGTCCCTGGGGTCTCTGAGGGCAGGCTGGGCAAGCCTTTGCCAGGCTTGGTGTGATCCCTGAGGTGGAGATGGATGAGAGGACCCTGGACTCCTCCAGCTCTGGTTATGCTCAGGCATCCCATGGCCCCTGTGTCTGCCCTCCCCTCACCCAGAGGGGCTGCGGGTGGAGATCCCACAGGTCACATCTTCTCCTGGGTCCCTTTCCAGTTCACACAGGAGGCAGACAGATGCAGGAAGGGCTTGGAGACTCCTGCCTGGCCAGCATCACACACACAGAGCCAAGGGCCAGCTGCAGCATGTGCTGCTCCCGTCCTGCATGTGCTGCTCCTGTCCTGCAGTGGTTCTCTGGCAGCAGACACCAGGTAAGCACATCTTTCTACTGGGAGTGGAGCAGAAATCCCTGGCAGCTCCATAAAACAAATTCATAAAGCATCTGTGTGTGCAGGGGCTGTCAGGGGAGTGCTCCAACTCCAAACCCTCATCCCTCAGAGGCTTCCTTCACTGAGCAAATGAGCGGCTGTGGTCCTGCAGGGAACTTGTGTCTTCTCCTGTGGCTGCAGGAGAGACAAGCCTGCACTTAGCCGTGGTTTCTGCTCTCTGTTTAGCTCCCAGCAGAATAAAGAGCTGCTCTTTTGTGGGAGGCATAAGGCAGATTTGAGGGCAGAAGGAGGAAAATGTCACAGAGCTTCACACCATCTCTGTAGACACACACACACACAAAAAAAGCAACTCCCTAAAATCACAGTTTTTGTTACTGCTTGATGCTACACCTATAAAAATCAGAGGAGAATCTACCACTAAAACCAGATTAAAGGCTGATATTGTAATTTTGGATTTTATACTGACCAATAATCAAGAGTAGACCGTATGTAGAGATGCAAGGTCTGTAGGCAGAGAGAATTTTTTTAGAAATTTATCTGGTATTACGAGAAAATTCTGAGGGCTTTTCACCATCCCAGTGCTTGTGAGTAGGAACAGCAGCCTTCAAAATGAAATAGGAATAGAGAAGACTTATTAAGAGCTTACCTTATGTCTCTTAGGCCATGGTGGGAGGGGAAGAAGCAGGGGTAGCACTGGGGAGCAGTGAGAGCAACATCTCATCTCCATGTCTTGTGTGATCTTCTGAAAGTGCCTCAGGCTCCTGTAACCTTGTGCCTGCTGGGAGAGACAGGCAAGCTGGAAATGGGAAATTCAGGTGTGACCTTGGGCAATTGAGGTAACCCAGAGGGGGATATTCCAGTTAATGGGATGGGCATGGGATCCAGCCTGGACTGCTGCCTCCTGCCTGCAGCTGGGCACAAGATGTCCTGAGAGAGTGAAAGGCTTGGGATGTTCAGGTGGTTGGAGGATTGGAGATCCCGTATCCAGGTGCAGATTTCATGGACCCACAACCCCAGAATGGTAGGATATTTCATGCCTTCCAACTTCCACCTGCTCATTCTCATTCCTGAACCCCCTGGGACCCTCAAGCCCAGGGAATCCCATGCTGTGTATGCATCCATGTCACAACTGAGCACGTTTCCAACATTTTCCACTGCTGCAGAAAAGCCTTCAGGGACGCCTTGAGATTCCCAGGTGAGTAAAATACAGCCTGAGCTGTGTGCTCACATGCCATTTGATAAAATCTTACATAAATTCCTTAACAGCATTTAACTCCCATGGGGTTTCCAGTCTTTGGTGTTGGAGCTAATGGACAACAATAGCAAACCACAATATCAAATGTGACATCAGAGATGTGGCATTTCTTATGTGCTCTAAACGAGTGACTAATTTCAGAGCATTTGCTCAGATGTCCTGTTGATGGGGGAATGTTTTCCTTCCTCCTGTAACTATTTCACACCAGAGGGAAATCAAAAATCTGCTCTCCAAACAGCTACAGACACCACCTGTTTTCAAGAAGGTGTGAAACAGAAAAGAATAGAAAAATGCTCAGCACCTCCTACGTGGTTCCCTGCTCTCCTTGAGCAACAGCACCGTGCAGGATGAGGCCCTGTGTTGGCACCAGTTTCTGAGTAAACTGCCTCTGTAGAAATCGAGCATCTGTTTCTATTAGCAACAGCTGCTTCTGCATGTAAGAGTGTGTTAGTGCATTTAAACACCTCATTATTAACTGGAGTTTGTTTGTGGGTTTGGAAGTGGTGAGGAAGGGGCTGGTACAGGTTACCTTTGGTGGGAGAGCACCATTCCTACATTCACCTGTGCAAGAGCATCCTCTGCAAAGCTCCAGTAAAACCACCTGAAAACAGGCTGTTCTGTCAGGCAGGGATGTGCCTGACACACAGAGGCTGAGCCCTGAACCCTGCTGTGTGTCCTGCTCCCCCAGCCAGGCAGGACAGACGGACACCATGGGTAGCAAAGGGAAAGCACTGATGGGGCAGTTCTCATTCAGAACAGGGTGTTCTGCAGCCATTCCCAGCAGGTTCAGGGGCACAGAAATGCTTTGTGCCATGGTGACTAGAGCACCAGGAGAGGAACTGTGCCTTTCCCTGGCACAGTTGTCACCATGATATTTTCTGAAAAATCCCTTTGCCAGGATTTTTCTCCAGAGAAGCTGGGAAGCCTCAGAGGAAAAGAAAAACAATAACTATCTGCTGCTGTGGAATGCAACAGGTGCATCTTTGATTGGTCCATCTTGGTTGTTTCTAATTAATGGCCAACCACAGTCCAGCTGGCTCAGACTCTGAGAGTCACAAACTTCTATTATTGATACCTTTCTATTCCTTTAAGCCTTCTGATGAAATATTTTCTTCTATTCTTTTAGTATAGTTATAATATATAATTTTCTTTTAATATTATATATACAATAAAATTTATTTATTTATTTATTTATTTATTTATTTATTTCAGCCTTCTGAAACATGGAGTCAAGATTCTCATCTCTTCCCTCGTCCTGGGACCCCTGTGAACACCATCACACACGGTGCCTAGAGCAGCATGGAGGAGCTGTGCCTTTCCCTGGCAGTGGCTAAAGCAGCACAGTCGGGCAGGGTGGATGGGACTGAGCCAAGCTCCTTATTCACTCAGAGCAGGGATGGAGCTCAGCATCTGCTCTGCCCCGTCTGCCGCCTGCATCCTCAGCAGGAAAATAAACACACCCTGGGGACAGGCTGGGTGTGGGAGGTGGGAGCTGCACAGCAGGAGCAGCTTCAGCAAAAGCAGCTCCTGTTGGCAGAGCAGCCAGCCCAGCCAAAGGAAAGGCTGGAGAGCAGCCACACAGCAGCCGGAGAAGTTTTTTCCTATTTAGCTGCGGGGATTTTGTTGCAAGTCTCAAGGCGACTTTTTCATTTCCTTTGGAAAATAGGCTGCGATCCCCCAGAGAAATGGCATGTGACAAGATTAGGGCAGGAATCACTAGTGAGATGAACACCCAAAGTGAGCTAAAGGCTGCATGAGCATGCATCACTAAATGTTTCACTACAGGTGTGAATATTTCATTCTGCTGTGCTAAAGCATCTCTTGCAGTATCAGTATTCTCTCACTGAAAAAACAAACCCGTGAAATTTGGAGAATGCACAAGGTGAAAGTTACATTGAGGTTCCTCTCAGGCTCTGAACTTCCTTGCAGACAAGCTTGGTCCAAATGGAATTTATAATTTTCTGCCACAGGAACACTAAATTCTTCTGACTCAGAAAGTTGTGCTGGAAGGAGTAAAACTAATCAGACAGGGTTGTTTGGTAGCTTATAACAAACCTTAAAAGCTGGGCCAAGCTTATAGCAAATTCAGCTAAGTAGATTAACATGTATGGGTCCTGCAAGCTGTCAGTCCCTTTGGTAGGATTTGTGTTGGGCAATTTGGAATCCTTGGCGAGTCCCTCCTGGTTGACACTGCCTGCTCACTCCAGATTCACTGAGCAGGAAACTTTTCTGTTCTGCTTGGGCTTTTGTACCTCAGCTAGTTTCCCTGAGAAGGGGGAAGGGAAGCACATTTACGTATTGCCATGGTTGCAAAGTCTGGCATTCCAAAGGAAAATCAGCTCCCTTTGTGTGTTATTGGGTCAGCTGTGATGAAATGAGGGGCAAAGAATGTGTCTGAGCCCTTCAGCTTTTGAATGTTCAATGAGAGAAGCATTTAAATGGCACCAGGAGGTCGGCTGTGATCTTGCAGAAAACATCTCCTCTCGATGCTCACATCTCCTCAGCTGATAATAACCACTGTCGCAGCCAAAGGTGACAAAAATTACATAAAGGCTACTGTTTCTGCACAAAACCAGCTGGTTTATTTTGGCAGCCTTCATTGGTACAGTTGGTGACCATAGCCTGCGAGCTGAGCTCGGATGGAGGGCTGGGAGGGGGGAAGGTGTGCAGGCAGTGTCTGCATCTCCAGGTCACAGCAAACAGCCCTAGGGGTGGGCTGGGAGGAGGCAGGAATGCAAACTCCTTAAATTCCTCCAGGCAAGTCTCCTCTGGAGAAATCTGGCACAACAGGGATGCTTTTAAGGTGTTTTAGTCATCTTGTAAAAACAGCACAGTGGTGAGTGCCTGGAGAGAGCAGCACCTCTGCTCTTTGGGAAGAGGTGGCAGCTGACTCCTGTGGGTTCCTGCTCTCTGAGGTTTGCCCAGCAGGCAGCTGAGGGAACTTTCTGATATGGTTACTGAAAGATCTTGCTTTTGTATGATGTTAAAAAGATAAGAAAAATTGCACCTTTCAGGTACTCTGGCCTTGTTGCTGGTTTTCTCTTCCAGCGCTAATCCTGTGCCCTTCTGCTGACTTTTATCAGCAGTCCCTCTGATGGATCCTCTGCCCAGTACAGCAGGTGATAGCCATGAAATCACACTCCTGTGAGACCCTGCTCCAGAAAAATACACCCGGAGGGTGCTGCCCTCTCTGCTGCTGTCCACAGCCTTCCCCAGGGGTGGAGGACAGTGATGCAGGCTGGGAGCACAGCTGGGATCACTGCTCCCACGTATCCATCTCTAATCACCCTCCACCGTGGGAAGGAGCTGATGTTGGAACCCTTTTGCCTGGAAATGAGCTTTTCCTGAGCAGCCTAATGCTCAGCTTCTAGGTGAGCTACTATAAATGTGTTTTTAATGATTTACCTAATTGCAAGTGCTTTCACAAACGATTTTGGTAGCACTTACTGGGACTACAGCAACATCTGAGGTTGTAGTAATGAAAATGTAATGTGATAGCATGATAACACCACCAAAAGGACTGATTTGAGAGGGATTAACAGCAAGATCCTAGTTGTGGGTGCTTAGTTAGGAGCACTCAGTGCAAGGAACAGGCTAGAGCCATGGGGAAAAGGGAGATGGTAAGGATGTAGGAAACCAGGATCCTTTCTTTGAAGCATTGTTAGAGGTCATGGGCACTGACAGAAAGAAAACATTTTTTTTAAGTGACTGAATTAGGCATCCTGGTTTTCCTTGT